TAAGTGTGGAGGTGAATGTGATCCTAATATTTTTAATTGACTTGTGCAAATAATTGATGGGTGTTCTGGAGGTAACTTTATTTTCGAATAATTTATTGAGATTGTGACAGATTGCATCATTTTGACCATGTAGTTAATGAGTCGTGTTAGTTCTGATTGGATGGTGTTTGTGTTAGATGATGGGATGATAAGGTAGGTGTCATCAACGTATTTGATGATGTGATTAGAGCTATGAAAAGTTTTGAGAGTAGAAGCATTGATGATAAAGGTAGATGATCTAAGGACAGAACCTTGAACTGCGCTAAAATTAATAGGTAGAGTAGATGAAAGAGAAGAGCTAAAAAAAGAAGAATGACTCCTATTACAAAGAAAATTTATTCTAATATTGTAAATGTCAGATAGAGGAAGAGAGGCTAATTTATTTGAAAGTGAAAAGTGATTGAGTGTCAAAAGCTTTAGAAAAGTCGAGAGCAATAAGATAAACATAATTATTATTTTTAAGGAAAGATGTTGTTGTAGAAGTAAGAGAGATGATGGCGCATGTTGATGTTGTGTAGCAAAACCAGACCAGGAGGGAGCTGCATATTTGATGTGTGAGATTATGAGTAATCCTGTGGTGTCGAATAGTTTGATGCCTCTGAGATCATGTGTGCGGAGAATTTTGAGTGCGTGAAATGTTTGAAAGCCTTTTGTGATGATGTGATTGATATGAGGTGATTGATATTAAGCGTGGAGGTGAATGTGATGCCTAATATTTTTAGTTGACTTTTGCGAGTGATTGATGGGTGTTCTGTAGGTAATATTATTTTCTTACGGCTATTGTAAATGATGAGTTCAAATGATTTATTGAGGTTAAGTGACAGATTGCATCGTTTTGACCATGATAAGTTTTGAGTCGCTTTCCAGCCGATAAGTTTTGTGCTTTCCAACGCAGTGTCAGAGAGTTCATCGATGTAACCCATCAAGGTGGAGACTTCGTATGATGGATGATTTGGTGGATGATAGATGGCGCAGATGATGATAGATGGCGCAGATCTCAAATGCTCAATAGCATGTGGCTTGACAATACTAGTGACATTCTAAATGTAGATGGTGGGTGGATGATGACATGGGGTGATTTTGGCTGGGTTGTAAGTCGGGGTAAGTTTGATGTTGATGAGATTGAGATGATTAGGTGAGGAGCGTCGACTGAGGTGGTTGCTTCTTTTACGGGTTGATGAAACTACTAACGGTATTGCTGAAGATAAATTAGTGCCAAGTAGATGGGCCGGGAGTGTTGATGTTGAAGTGGTTGTAGTGGCTGTAGCGATTGAAGAGAAGAGGAGAGGTGTTGATGTTATTGATGATCTGGGTTCCAAGTTTTGTTGATGAAAAGAGTTTCTCTTAGCGGTGTTTTGATGGCGAATTTGTCGGGTAGAAAATGAAGCAGTTGTTGGCGTGTGCATTGGGTCATTCGATTGAGGATGTGAGCGATAATTAGTAACGAGTCGATAAAAGTAAAAACGGATAAAAAAAATTAATAAAACAGAAAACTAGAAACTTAATTGAAAAAATTGAAATTAGTTAATAATAAAGTGAAATTGTTGTTTAAATTAAATTAAACCGTTGAAATTTGAAATTAAAATCGGTTACTATGACGACGATGATGAAAATTTGTTGAATTCATAATAAATTTTAAAATGAACTATAATACAGCAACGAAATTTTCGCAAATTTTTAAAACGTTGTCAAAAAAAATTAATTATTGTTATTGAAGGAAAATGAGCAAAAACTTAAGTTTATAACGGAAAATTTAGTAGTTGAAAATCCACAACACGATGTCAATTAAACCATAGACATCCCGAACCAAAAACCCAGTATTTCAGGGCTTGCAATATCTAAATTATTGAACTTCGGCAATCCAGGTGAAAGTGTTGACAACGGGTGGTTCAGTAGCTGGCCATTTTTTAGCTTCTCATCAGCTAAATCAGTTACTGATCAGCTGATCTGCAGTACTAAGAATTGGGCTGGGTTGTCGAATCTAAGTTGTCGAAAATAACCACTGCTTAACTCCGTAAATCAATAGTTTGTTTCTCAACTCATATGGTTTTCCTTAATTTCTTCATTTTATAGGATTGTCTTTTTGCATGTTGTATGTGTTAAGGGTTTCATTCATAGCATTAGGATTTTGAAAGGACCGTAATCTAATTGAATCAAAAATATCATTTATGCAAGTAATAAATTTGGTCTCAAATACTTTGTTTTCAAATACTTTGTTACTAAAGTTTGTTAAAACCAATTTTTCATCAATTTTGGGAATATAAAAGTCACCCACTAGTTTTTTTTACTTTTGCAGCAAAAAATTCTCTTATCAATGGCGACAAATTATCGTTATGTGCATGATATGCCCAAACAAGCGTATGCTCAACAGCTTTGTTTTAACTGCCTAACAACAACTATTTGTACTGCTTTCACAGCATACCCGTGTAATATGTAGTTGGCTTCCCAGATAAAAATGCAA